GGCGCTTTGCCGCTGAGCTAAATCCCCAGCCCCTAGCTAAATCCCCAGCCCCTCCCCTGGAGACACTTTCGCAGTAGACAGGCCACAGGCAGAGGAGGGGCCTCCTCAGGGAGGGGCAGGAGCTGAGCCCTGCCTGTGCATTTATTTTGCTTCTGCCTCGTCCTCGCTGGGCTGAGTGACTTGCTGGGCTACCTGTTTCCCAGTGTGACACCCACCAGCCTGCTGGCGGTTTTTGGGCCCTGCTGGTGATAGAAGTCCTTTAGACTCCCCTCCCTCCTGTTTGCCTTTGCTCACACCCTTTTTTTTTTTTTTCCATTTGGGGAACTATTTGGATGGGGTGAAAATTTAGGGACGGCCAGAATGACAAAAATAAATGATCTGTGATAACCTGGGGCCTCCAGGGCCCCCCGCCCCGTGCCAGCTGCCGCTGCGGGGTGGACAGGGATCTGCAGTCCGGGTAACAGGTGCGGCCACCCACCCTTCTGGGGAGACGTCTTCCAGGCCCGCGGGCCCGGCGTGCTGACTCGCTGTGTCCTCTCTCTCCCCCCGCAGGGCCTGGCCATGTCGCCCTTCGGAAGCCTGTTCCCTTACCCCTACACCTACATGGCCGCTGCAGCTGCCGCGTCCTCGGCCGCCGCCTCCAGCTCGGTGCACCGCCACCCCTTCCTCAGCCTGAACAGCATGCGCCCGCGGCTGCGCTACAGCCCCTACTCCATCCCCGTGCCGGTCCCCGACGGCGGCGGCCTCCTCAGCTCCGCGCTGCCCGCCATGGCCGCGGGGCCCCTGGACGCCAAAGCCGCCGCGCTGGCCGCCAGCCCCGCCTCGGTCGCCGCCGTGGACTCGGGCTCGGAGCTGAACAGCCGCTCCTCCACGCTGTCCTCCAGCTCCGTGTCCCTGTCGCCCAAACTCTGCTCGGAGAAAGAGGCGGCCACCAGCGAACTGCAGAGCATCCAGCGGCTGGTCAGCGGCTTGGAAGCCAAGCCCGAGAGGTCCCGCAGCGGGTCCCCCTAGACCCGTGCCCAGCGGCGTCTTCATTCCAGCCCGATGAGTCTGCAGTGCACTTTGTTTTGGATGTCACACAAACCCCAGGGCCGGCTGTGGGCTTCCCCCTCGCTTTGGGGCCGGCGTCTGGGGAGGGGCGCCGGACTCCCTGCAGAGCACGGGAGGCCAGGCCCTGTCTTCTCAGTGTGGTCTATGTACCCCGATCTGGCTCACGGCATTGTGGGGCTCGGAAGCGGCTGATGCATTGAGCGGTGGAATGGGGGGGCTGAGAGGAATTTTATTCCAGAACTACTTCCATGGAGGCTGCTCTGGAAGCCGTGACAGAAGAAGAAAGGTAGCCAGGCCCACCCGGGAGGAGGGGGAGGTGTTGAAAGCTATCTTCCCTCCGCAAGGATTTATATATAAATATATTTTTTTTCCTTGGCTCTCTCAAGTGGAAACAAAAATTAAAAAAAAATTTTTCTAACAGGGACACATGAATACATGAACATGATTCTGTTGGTGAAGATGGAAACCTCTGTAGAGAGTGACTTTGGAGAATCAGTTCTCAGTAAATTGCTGGGCGGTGATGTCGGGGCGGCAGGTCCTTAGCATTCTTGTTTAATCTATTATTAAGGAAATCTGTGTCTTTTTAATATTCTTGTGATGTTTTAAGAGCCGCTGTAGGTCTCTTCCTGCATGTTCCACAGTCATGTATTTGTGGGTTTTTATTTTGGACGCTTGCTTTTAGAGAGAACGACCTAACCCCATCCCCTTCCTTATCGTGTGCCTCTCAACCCCAGAGAAATGGGCTAGGGGGGCTTCCAGGGAAGGGGTTGGGAAAACAACGGAATTTATTTTATCTAAGCTCTGTAGCAGGATTCATGTTCCTCTTTGGCAGTGCGTTCTCTTTCCTGTATATGCAATAAACAAGGTTTAAAAAAAAAATAAAGAAGAAGCGAGACTATTAGACAAAGTATTTATGTAATTATTCGATAACTCCTGTAAATACGTGGAATATGAATGCTCGGAAAATTAAACTTTTAATTTATTGACAATTGTACATAGCTCTATGTAAATAGGATCGCAACTGTCAGGTTTTGTTCTTGTTTTCCTTTAGTTGGTTTTTATTTCCAGGTCAAAGGATTGCCGTTCACAGTAAGAGACAGACTTCCTTAGGAACACCTACACACTTTCAGAAAGCGCTGTCTGCAAAATTATTTTTCTTCTTTTTTTCACGTCCAGGAGTGCAGGGAAAGTGCCGTTTCCTATTTTAGCCAAAACTGGGGGTGGGGGTGACACTTCCCGTCTCCACATTAAATTCCTTAAGATCTGACACCCGGGCCGGGCCGGGGTCTGAGATTGCTGTGGGAAGGGGGCTGTGGTTTGACTTCCTAATTTTTCTTTCTATTTGTATTTGCTGGTCTCTGGTTTCTCAAAACAAGTGGGGTTGACCGCTATTCTCAACCGGATGGCGTTTTGAGTTGGTGCCTAGAGAGAATCACAGTTCAAAAGTTAGGTGCTCAGAGCTGGTTTGGAAAGAGAAAAACCCATGCAGCTTCTTTTTTGTGTTTTAGCTGTTGATGAGTCCTTTGGTTTTCTGTGTCCCCCCTCCCCTTTAAAACATCACTGAAATTTCAATAAATTTTTATTGAAATACCTTTGGGCCTCGTGTTAAATGCTTATTTGACAGCTCTCCAGGAAGGCGGAGAGCAGAAAAGGACTTGGGTCTCTTCTCTCGTCGCCGGCCTCCCTCCCTTCGCCTTTAAATAATTGAGACCGCCCCCAGCGAAGCAAAATGACTTGTCACTCAAATTACAAAGCTAAAAACAAAAGTCCCTGACTCCAGCGAAGGGGGCCGCTCCAATATGAAAACACTTTTACTTTAAATTAGGCAGCAAAACCGGAGACAAGTGGGACCTGATTAGAATTTGGAAACAACAGTGGTTTCAGATACTTCAATAGTAATAGAAAAAGTTTTGCCGTGGTCCCTAAGCCAGCCTCTCCTCCCCCCACAGGAATCCAACCAAAAATAAGCTTGAGCACTAGGAAGGTCTTTTCGTTTTAAACTGGTGCTCTCTTTTGACTTGGATCTAGGGAATCCAAGGCAAAGACTGCACGGTACACTTGCCCGGGGAAGAGGGTCACAATCCCTGCGCAGGCAGACCCGGGTTGGCCTGGTGGTGCCCTCCGGGCTTCTGGGCTGCATACCCCGGCCATCCAGGCGTCTCCGAGGGGACCAGGCTGGCCCCAGGCGCTCGGGCCAGGCCGCGCCCACTCGTGTGCTCTGTGCAAACGCCGAGTGCCACGCGAGGGAGGAGGGACGTGTCCCTTGCAAAGGAAAGGTAATTGCAGGGAGCACATTTGACCAACCTCCACCAAAGGAGAAGCCGCCCAGGAGACTGGCACCGTCTCTGACGCTCCCCTTCGCTCCCCTTCATCCAGTCTCCGGCAGCGCGGGGAGTGGGCTTCGGAAGTTCAATCTGTCTTTGAAGTAGTCCATCAAACGTGGTGGGGCCGGGTCAGTCTTGCAGTCTCCCAACCCTACTTTGCATGGAGGTGTGCGTGTGTCTTGGGGTGCGGGGTGCAACACGGGAAGGTCAAGCCTAAGCTTTGCTCCTCCGGGGGCTTTGATGCAAAGACCCAGCCAGAGCCTGCCAGGGGTCTGACTCCCTTACCCCCACCCCCACCCGGAGCCTGCCAGCCAGGCCCCAAGCCCCTGTCACCTTCAGGCCTCTTGAACGGGCAGCGAGGAGGGATCCCCCTCCCCAGCCTCATCCTGTGCTTGGAAGAGGATCCAGGTCGAGACCTTTCGGAGAGGGGGCAAAGCCAGACACGTGGGGGACCCACACAGCCTCTCCTGCAGGGTCTGCCGGGATCAGAGGGGAGACGGCCGGCCACCGGCTCGGGGACGTTTGGGGCCAGAGCTCCCCGGAGTGTACTGAGACTGCAGGGCACGCGCCATGGGCACTGCAGCGGCTGCCGAGTGGAGCCGGGGTTTGTGCCCAGCGAGAACGCGAGCTGGCCCCGGGGGGAAAAGGTGGGAGTGGCGGGCTGCGTCCAGCTGCGTGCTTCCAAATTGGGGAGAAAATAACTGGGCTTCCAAGAAGGACAAAACAAAAGTTGTCTTTTTTTTTTTCTTTTCTTTTCTTTCTCAGTCCACATTTAGACACCTCTTCCCTGCCCCGTCCCCCAGTTTGGGAGCAGTGCTTCAAGGTGGGTCCTGCCTGCCCTACATGCTGCCTTTGCTTCCTTCTTTTCTTTCTAATCTCCTGGGTATCTTATTTGTATATAGCGACGTTAATGAGTAACTCTTGTGGCGCTGATGGACGGGGGAGGGCGGGCGGCGAGTGGCTTGCAATCTCTGGATTTCGTAGCCTATTACTCACCTGGCGCCGGTCGCAATCTCGCCGCGGGCTTTATGGTGGCTGCGGCGGCCGCCGAGGCCACTCGGGGCCGGCGCCTGGGCCTTTTTTCCCAGGCTTCGAGTGCCACCTATCTGTCTGCTCCACCAGTGCGCCCCGGTGGCTGCGTCCAGCCGGCTCCCCAGCGCCTGGCGGGATCCAGATCGCGGGCGCGGCGTCTGTGCCCCATTCTCCTCCCCACCACCCCAGCCCCAGCCTCGCACCGCTTCTTTCCTGGACATCACTTTAATTCCCGTGTGGGCCTCAGATCAGAGAAACAACCCTCTCTTCTGGGAGTCCAAAGAATGCTCGGAAATTCAGCATGAGAGCCGTCGCTCCTAATTCCCTCTCCAAATACTTGGCCGTTCCACCCAGAAATCTGTGGACCCGCATTTGGGGTGGGCAGATAGTGCCCCACCCTTCCAAGCTCCAGCCCTACCTGGGGGCAACGCCCCTTCACTCCACGCTCCCTTTTTTAAATTTATAATGCCGCAAATTTTCATTTTTAAAGTCCTGCTGCATCTACAGGGACACGAGCCACGGCTCGGGTGCTGGTCAGCTACCAGCCTGCTGGGCCCAGCGACCTGGAGACTTGCAGATGGAAGGCGACCAACGAGGGTGGGTGCCCTCCGAGCCCCCGCCCGCCCGTCCTGTCCCCTGCACAGCGGCGGCTCCAAGCCCGGCTGCGCCCTGGCGGCGTCTGGGACTTGGAGGGGTGGGGTGGGGTCGCCTTCTGCCGCACTTCAAGCTGCGGGTGCAGGCGTCCTGGTTCCTGCTGACCTCCGGGCGCTAATTGCAGGGGTCGAAGGGCGCACTGGAGCAGAGGCAGAGGTCACGACCCTCAGCTCCCTTCTCTGGGCGCCGGCAACCACGGAGGAGCGCGGGGTGTGTGCTGGTGGGAGTGTGAGTGTGTGTGCAGAAGCCCTCTCCGGACCCACACTGCCCCAGGACCCACCCTGCTGCGTGTGGGGGGGGATGCGGGGGTGAAAGTTCCCAAAGAACAGGCCCTTAAAAAAAATACTCATCCAGGAAGGCAAACCCTGGTTCTGACCACTCCCTGAACCCGTGGACAGGTATAGCCTGAGCACTGCCAGAGCGCATTCTGCCTCCTTGGTTTCCAAATTTGACGTCTCGGCTGCCAGCTAGGACAGAGGTTGTTGGGGTGTAGCTCTAATCGTGATTGGGACCTTAACTCTTCCGGACAGAGCTATCTATGTTCCTGCCTAGCAGTGGCTCTCAGGGCATTTAGAGCTTCGGGCAGGACCTGCAGGTGTGGGGAAGATGAGTGTGCATGCGTGCGTGTGTGCGTGCGTGTGTGCGTGCGTCCGTACTCGGGCACCCTGCGCCGGTGCACGTCTCTTCCAATTTGGATTTAGGAGTTCAAGCGGGAGACAGTTCCGGATGCAGATGCATTTGGTTGTTTTATAATCAAGATGCGTATAATCAAGAAGTATACGTTGCAGATGTGGGTGTTCAAAGTACACATAACAACGTAATAAAAATAGCTGGCGTTGCAGGGGCACGTGCGCGTGCTCGGCGCCCGGTGAGCACCCCACAGAAGTGCTCTCCTGAAGCCTCTCCGGGTAACCTGAAAAGGGGTGCATGATTTTAACCTTGCCTTACAAAGGAAGAAACTGAGGCACGTCACCGTCATCAGGAAATGGTGCGACCAGAAGTCCAGCACGGACAGCTGAGGGCACACGCTCACTGCCGTTCTTA